TACAAAAAGGGCCTCAAAAGCTAATCTCTATTCTTTACATTCTACTTGATGAAAACAAAAATAAAATCAATTTAGGAACATCTGCCAGGTACTCATCAATTTATATACAGCTCTAAAGCACACCTCTTTGTTGTACTGCAATGTGCCATCACCCTCATTATTAGCCAAACACTACTCTCCTACCCTTCTGCTTCGAGGCACTGCACGCATCACCACATCTAGAACACACACACACCAACTACCTCATACACAAACAGGTTACAAATGACAAACTGCATCCATACAGCCAGAGTAATACACATTTAAACTAGCATCCACCAGAGAGGATTAATACACATTTTCACCATCTGATCAGCAGTATGTTCCCACAGTTTCCATACGGGAAGGTTATATTTCAGAGAAACAAAATAGTATCACGTCAAAACGTGGACACTTCATTATCTGAACCCTACAGTTATTTCCATGACAAGATTTCCCTAGGAGTCTGACACCTGTGCATTTTCTACAAGCAGAATGCTGTGTTGAAGCTCTTGAAGCACTTTAGCTCCTTTATATACAATGGAAGAAAGAAAGCTTACACTGTGTATTTGAGATTTCTCAGTAGACCTCTGCTCTACTGACTCCTTCTCCAAGCCTCTGATTATCTGAAGAATTTTATCTCACAAAAAAGGTTCAGATAATCAAGACATTAACCAAGATGTTCAGGGAGGGTAGAAGTTAACCATACGGTGTATACCAAACATTAAAAACAATGGTTAACATCGATTAGTGGAAGCAGACAGTCAAACATTAGAATTTCCAGTAGTATGAAATTATTTGGGTTAGTAAGAACTGTGGAGAACAGAGATTTCCAGAAAGATCTAACCAAGTTAGAGAATTGAGTAATACAACAGCAGATGAAATGCAAATAAATATAATGCAATGCACACAAGGAGAAATGATTTTGTCTAAATATTTGATGAGACCAAATTAGTCCAGTCTTCTGAGAAAAATAATTAGGGGTCATTGTGGACAGCTCAATGTGCAGCAATAGTTAAAAAGTCTGACAGGATAAACCATTAAAGTTAGAAAGCAAAACAATACCACATCTCACCTAGCTGAGCACCCTTCCATTTCAGGATTCTCACAGAATCTCAGAAAAAAACTACTAAATTTCTACAGCTTCACGCAGTCACATTCTTTTAATAGAAGATATAAAAATCAACTGACACATGCAAAAGCATCTTTAATAAGACAATCATATAACAAATGCCTAATTTGGATTCAATATTTACAGTTAAAAGAGCCATATCTGAAATTAAAAGAGTTAGATAAATGACACTGGCAATGGCATTGGGAGAAGGTTCAACACACGAAGGACAGATGAGTCTAATACACAAGTACACACTGACATCATAGCAGCATACAGAAAAATCACATTAATTTTGCCTCAATTCCAATGTACTTTTGTTTTCATAGAAACAGAGGCAAAACTTTCATTTTAAATGTTAATTTTTACCCAGTATTTAGTACCTTTCTGGAATTAGCCTGTATAGGAAGTTATGATGATGACTAGGCTTAAAAGGATACTTACAAACACAGAGAGGATGAAGAGGCACCATCATCCTAACTGAACGGATAATTTTCCAACCACCTTTTTCCCTGCATTTTTGCAGATGGAAATTACGAGGAATACCATTCAACCCTAAATCTTCTAAGGTTTGTAAAACCCCCTATTTAAAAAAACCAAAACAACTAAAAATGAGAAACAAAAACCTGTGCTATTTTGGGTAGCAATCTGTCAATTCTAACCTCATAGTCTGGTCCATATCTACCAGTTTGCAATTAACAACAGATCCTTTATTAACAGAAGAGGTATTTCATGATAGATTACTCTAAAGAAACAAATCCAGCATGCTGTGAGTGCACAGCATATTATTTTCTGTATGCACATACTATCACATGAGGGCCTCCCTTGTGTAACAAGAACTGCAAGTCCACTGCTCAGTGAATACAGATGTTATCAAAGGCTGCAGGATTAGAGCCCCGACACATTACTCTGAGGCAAACTGAGGAATTTCACTTTGTCAAACTATGCATTTCAGAGACTGTGCTTGCAAATGCAGTCAGTCCCATTTTCATTCTTTGAGGACCAAGTGAGTTGGAAAAATAGAGAGATTATTAAAACAACACTGAAAATCTTGGATGGATAATGACAGTTTTTTTGTTTCTGAGAAGGTTCCTTGCTCATAAACAAGTACTGTAAGTGGAAAAAATTATGTGTTTAATTTCCAAATTTCTCAGACTGCACATTAATGGACAACCAAGAACAATTTAAATGGAACATCCCACATAGGTTCCCCTTCTGAACCATTTTCACCTTCTGCTGTTTTGCCACTGATGATCACAGCCCTGCTATCAATCCCACGCTGATGACCAGTGCAGTGACTTCCCATCACACGTCTGTGCCTCTGAATTACCATCTCCTTATCAAACACTAACGTGGGATAAGCTGTGAGCACCAGTGTGGACTGAGCCTTAAGCACTCTCAACATTTCAAATAATTACTATCAGGATTACAAAAAAAAAAAATTAAAAAATTTCTAAGTAAAATATTATACACTTCTCTATTTTGGGCACATGACACTGCACTGCTGACTCTTAGGGGCACTGAACTTTCTGCTACTTCTGAAACAGAATGAAGTTTCTGAAACTAAGCAAAGTTAACTTTATCTTCTTAAAATAAATTCTATACCTAAAATTTTAACTGTAAATTATCACTTTTCCATCCATAAATAAGATCCATGACAACCATTAAAATAAATTAGAAATACCATAACACTAGGATAACTCATTCATGGATGCATCTATGTTATTCTTTAATGGAAATAACTTTCCCAGGGTGAGAGACAATCTGTTAATGACATTAATTACACTAGCACTTGAAGGAGAACATATCACAGTGTTATTTACATGAATCATCTAAAATGTGACAGACTTGAGAGAAGTGAGTGCACCTATTGAGCACTGACCAATGAACTGAAATCCATGAGGCATGATATAATTGACAGCATTCACTGAAATTCTGTAATTTTTATTACCAACATTCTTAAATTTTGGTGTCAAGCATGCTTAACATTTTTCTTCAAAATCAGTGTGATACTACTTAAGTCATAATCAAGAGATATCTGAAACACCTCATTTTCTGTTAGAAAAACCTAATCCAGCCCCCCAAAAAAATGAATCCTGAAGGATTCTACAGGAAACCTTGAAACTGAGATGTAACAGAACAAAAGCAAAGTTCAAAACCAAGAAAACATTTAGGGAGATAAAAATCTCTTTAGGAAGTCCAAGACATCACTCATAAGCATGTCAATGTCTGCACATGCACACCACACCACACACAAGCTATGCACAACATCACTCCAGAAAATCCTACCTGTGAAGGGATAAACAATATGCCATTTCAAATAACAAGTGAAATTACTTCAGTCTTATAGATATTCAGATACAAACTCATTATTAACACTCCTTGATAAACTAAATACGTGTTGAAAACTGAATAACAGCTTTGAGAATGGTTCCCTGCACTTTTTAAAATTAAGAGCTTTTACCTGAAAATATTTCGGATGCTATTACCATGTTAACATTTCTGTGTCACATGGCTAATAAAATAGCAATATTTGAAGAAGCTCCATGGGTTTACTACCTAAAAATATTACTAAAAATGGTAACATGCATTCATAATGAACCTTCCAAAAGAGCAGTCAAATACTCACACAGAGAAGCCTGTTTGACAGAAAACTATAAACTAATCCAAATTGAAAAACTCCTTGCTGGTAACCCATCATCACAGTAACCTGAACCTATCCCTCTAACCTCACATAGGATATTCTCCATTAGTAGCAACAAGCAACTGCTAATTATGTTTGCACAGGTATAAAATCATGGTTGGCTTTCCACAGGCAAATAAAAACATGGGGCCCCAGTACCGTATCAGGAAATACAGAGTATTCCCTGTCTTGTCTAACAAAGTCTTCACACTCAAAGAAGATGTTTCCCCAGACTAAGAGACAGTCTGTGAAGACTGGAGTGGACAGGTCCAAGTTTTCTGCCTTAGTGAACTCACATCACCTCCCATCCATGAGCTGGCTCAGCACATTGCCGTGCCGTCACTCTCAGCACACCTGCCGAGAAGCAGGGTGTATTATCCCGGGCACAGCCGCATAAAGCCACACTTCTTCAGTTCTCAGGTGCATTGGCTGAGTCTGTCCACTCCCATGTGCACAGAGGAACCGTGAGTGTTCCATCACCAGCCCAAGATCCCTCAAAGCGCCGGCTGCTAACTCACTGAGAGCCACACACCTGACCTTCAAGCACTCTCGCAGAAGGTTGACAAGAAATCAATGGAGGAACGAGACCCCATCGAGAAGCCAAAGGCGAGGCCCTGAGTAGAGCACCCACAACACACTAACCCAGCGTGCCCGGCTGCGAGCTCTGGAAGGGATGGGAGTCAGCTGTAGGCGCTACCTGAAAGGACGGTGGTGTGTGAATTCATACAAGCGAAATCAGTAGTCCCTCTTGAGCACATAGAGCAGAAACTATTTTACTACCAGAAAGTGGGAGAAGAGCACTACTGAAGTGGAAGAAAAAAACCCAAACAAAACCAAAATCCAACCAAAACCCCCCACGATCAGGGAATGTCCGACTACACGGAAAGCAGACTCCAGCACGACCACCGACTGACGGAAGGGCATCCCGGGCACACGGCGGGATGGCGCCTCCGGGCGTTCTCCCCGCCCCTCCTCGGGTAGCCCCCCGTGCGCTGCCGGTCCCGCACCAAGCCGGGCGAGAGCGCGGCCCTTCCCCGCCGCTGGCTCCGCAGGCCGAGCGCGCCCGAGGCCCGGCAGCCATGGGTCGGGGCCCAGGCTCGGGCCGGGGCCGGGCGGGGGGAAAGGAACGCGGGGGGCCCGCCCCGCCTCTCCGCCCCACCCTCCGCGCCCGCGGCCGCCCCGCCGCACTCACCTGCTCCTTGCGCTGCCGCGCCGCTCCCCGCCGCCTCCTCCGCCGCCGCCCGGGGCGGAGAGGGTGGGAGGGGGCGAGGGGGGGGTCCGTCCTCCCGGGCCTGAGCGCGGAGCGGCGCGGGCAGGAGGGGGAGGAGCGCGCGGAGCGGCGCGCGCCCCCGCGGACCCGCCGCTCCCGCCCCGCGCGCCGGGACAGCCGTCGGGGGAGCGCCGCCGCCGCCACCGCCTCCGCGCGCCCTTCCCGGCGGCCTTCGCGCCGCCCGCGCCGCCGCCGATGATGACGGCGGTGACGACGGCGGTGACGTCGCCGCTGGGAGGGCGGTGGTGAGAAGGGCGGAAGCGGCAGCGCCGCCATCTTGGGGAGGGCGGGGCGGGCGCCCGGCTCCGCCCCCGGGGAGGGGCAATGGGCGGGCGCGGGCGCTGGGGCAGAGTGAGGGGAGGAGGCGCTGAGGGAGCTCGGGGTGCTCGGGCTGGAGGGGGCTCGGGGTGACCTGAACGCTCCCTACAACCGCCTGAAGGGAGATTTAGCCAGGTCTTCTCCCTGGCAACAAGTAACAGGACGAGAAGACCTGGTATTAAGCTGCACCAATAGAGGTTCAAGTGGTGCATTACGAATAAAATTCTTCACAGAAAGGATGATTAAACATTGGAATGGATGCCTAGGGAGGTGGTGGAATCACTGTAGCAGGAGGTGTTTAAGGAAATACTGTATATGTGTTGTATTATATTGTATTGTATGTACATGAGTGTACTGCACACTCAGTGCCCGGGTGTAATTGACAGGGTGGTGTTGGATTGTAGCTTGGACATAATGGTCTCAGAGGTCTTTTCCAACCTCAATGAATCTGTGTTTCCTTGATCTTCAACTAGAACAGGCTGCTCAGAGCCCCGTCCAACCTGTCCATAAATATTTCCAGGGATGGGACATGCACCACCCCTCTGGACAACCTGTGCCAGTGCCACGCCACATTTATTGTAAAAAAACCTTCTTTCTTAATCTAAACCTGCCCAGTTTTGGTTTGAATCCACCTTACAGAGTCTTCAGGCCAGTGCTTGGCTGCAGGACTGGGCTGGCTGTAGTGGAGCAGCCTCTGGGCACTGCCGCTCGCTGGTTTGGCCACTCGTGTGTCCCCGCCTTGCTGGGAGCACCCTTCCTGGCACACAGGGGACGCGGCAAGTGAGGCTGTTCTCTTGTAACCAAATCCTGTAATAACAAATGACCTAAATGCGGCAATCTCTTCTGTGGAGGGAGTCAGAGACCCTTTCACCTGGAATTCCCACCATCTAGTGGGACATGTGTGCTTTTTCCCCCTTACACTACTCTCTATTATACTTGTGCTGCAGTGAGCTACTCTTATAGAGACGGGTATATAAGTATGGCTGAAAAAAACTGATGTGTTCTAAAATGCCAGGGGTGCAGTCATCCTGGGGTTTTGCCTATGTACAAATAATTTTAATAAAGGAGCAAGCTTTTTTTTTTTTTAATTGCATTTTTGTGAGTAACTAAGTGCAGTCGTGCTGGAATAAATTATATTCAACATCACAAATTTTGTAGAACGTGTTGAGCTATCTCTTTGACAGCAGAAAGGGCCTCTAAGCAAGTTGGCTTGATTTCTCGAGGAGGAAGCAAAAATCCGTAAGTTCCTGTGTCACGAAGCTCAAAGGTAAAAGAATATTTAATGCCAAGATCATAAGCCCAGTCGTCAGATCCTCCAGGAGCTAAATCTATGTGAGGAAAGGAAAATAGAAAAATTGCCTGAAAGCAGAACTTTTTCTGTTCAAAAGCTGTCTTCTGATCCTAGAGAGGATATATTGTCATGACTTTCATTGCCATAAAGTCATACTTACAGATTGTTTGTGCACCAGCACCAGGTCTGTAAGTTTTCCAAGTTGTCCTCTTTATAGCTTTAGCTGCTTTCTGTGCCAGACTTTCCTGAAATCAAACAAAACATTATTATATTTAAGGCTGTGTGACAATAGATAAAATGTATGCAGTTAGAATTTACTTGCAGTGTGCTCAGGATTTCACACTAGTTAAATAATCATATAAAAGGTTCCAGAAAACCCACTGAATGTGGTAAAAGTTTTCAGCATATGCCCATGCTACAGATTGTATTTCTGCTGTAGACAGATAAAAAGTATAGATGGGACCTTATCCCCACTTCTGGCAGTAAACTGTTGTCAAACCATTTGTTCTCATTCATCTCATATTTTTTCTTTTCTGCTACAGTACTTAAGTCACTCTTTATTTAAGTAATATTGACAAATATGGCAGGAAAATATTTTAATTGTGAGAAACCTACTGTTAAGCCATGAAGAAGACTGAAATGCCCAGAATCAGTGCACCTCTCTCTGCTTTGCAGGGCGGGAGTAACTGTTCTGTTTTGAACTCCACTGTTTTCAATGAGTGTTTGTGCTGTGTCATTTGGTGGCTCGAGAAAGTAAAATTCTACATATGCAGGATATATTTTCCATCCTACCAGTAATTTTGTATAAATACCCCTTAAACAAAAGTCTTAATAAAAGTAGCTAGTGTCCACCAGAATACCTCATTGCTTAGATATGTAAAGGGTGTTTTCAAGAGTCACACTCCCAACTAATTTCAGAGTTTATATAAACCATAAAACATAAGAAGAATTTGCACATATATATCTTTTCAAGATGTCCAGAACAACGGGACTCTGCTCTTCTAGCAGCAGCTTCAACATCTTACGTGTTGTTGATGTATAATCAATCTGGAATAAATATTTTCATTTTTCTGTAGCTTTCAGAAGCAGATTGCTGACTTGCACACTACTAGACCAGCCCAGACTTTTTAAATTTTTTAAGAACATCAAGAAAAATGTCATTTCCTAATTCTTGATCTTCCCAGCACGGTGACTCCTTCATTACAAGACTGACCAAGCTGGGTGAATAGTTCTGGAATAAGTGTGAAACTTCAGGAGGTGGGAGGACTTACCAGCTCTTCGTGGTCCTTGCTTTTGTTCATAGTGTAAGAATATGGAAACAGCACCAGCTGGGAGTAGGAGTGCATGGTGATGTAGGCTTTAATGGTGTCCTTGTGGTCTCTGATAAAGCGAGCCACTGCTTTCACTTCAGGCTCAGACTCTGGGTAGGGTCCACAGTATGTCTCATGGCATTCAAAGTGAGATGCTCCTGGACCTTTAACCAAAAAAATAAAAGTGCACAGTTTTACTCCTTTACTTCTTCACTTCTGCATTTCTGTTCATGAAAACTGCAAGAGTATGAAATGAAAGAGCAGAGTAAGGTGCTAATACACAAGAAATCGTGGATTCCACCATACTATGGAAAGAACTCTCATGCTTGTAGAAATCTCTGCAAGCCTTCCAGGATTTCTCACCTATTGTGCTCTTACAAACAATCAAGAAGAAGATGTAAAAAAAAAAAAGTATTCAACAACTGGATAAGAAGTCTTAGAGGAGAGGATGAATATGCTTCATTTAAAATGATCCCATGATTGTGAGATCGCATCTTAAAATCTAGAATACTACAGAAAAAGGCAATTCTACATGATTATTTAATCTTGTGGGAAAGCAAACTCCCAATGGGAAGCTGAAGAAACAAATCAAAATGAAAATTTTTAAGAAAAATTGACACTGAAACAAATTATCAAGAAGACAAATAGGATTCACCACTTCTGTCTTCACAATAAGACCAAATAACTTTCTGGAAGCTTGGAAGCCTTCTGGAAACTCAGGATCTTTAGGGGAAAAAAATGTGTGTTTTTCTTGATATAACAGCCATGGATGGTTTAGCAATGGGCTACAATGACTGAAATCCATTACAGGACTTTAGTGTCAGCCCTGAGTGAAGTCAGATCTGATCTATAGGGTAACATTTTAAGACAGCTATTCTGCAGGCTGAAAAAAACTTGTCAAGTACTAAAGTGCCTGCAGTAATTAAATATGATGTAGTCCTCATAAGAATCACAAAGGGCTAAAACATTTTGGTCAGCTAGGCATTATGGAAGGATGACTGAGCTGATTAGTTTGTACACCACAGCGGAGCAGCTGGATGGTGCAATAGGCCTTGGGTGACATGGCAAGGGCCACCTCTTCTCTTTTTCTTTCTACCCACCAACAGCCTCCTCAAGGTGTGTCATGGTGTGATGCAAGGAGCTCTGTTGGGCTGGGAAGAGGTTATTCCATGGCGTGTCATCTGGGTATGAAAATTCCTGAGTCCCAGAAACAATTATCTAAAGCTGGGAAAGTTGTCACTGGCTCATAACAGATAGCTGCATTTGTCTTTGTACTAACTTCACGGAACAGTACATGAAAATGTTTTCAAAATCAAAAATTTTAATGGCCAAAAGTGAGGCAGGGGTACAATAGGAAGAAAATGATGTCCTACCACACCAGTGTGCATCAAAATTCCTGTTCATGTCAGTACCAATGCACTTGCTGTTACCATGGGAGGAGCGGCTTTTCCTCCACAGTCGATTCTGTGGAAAGACACACAACACATGTTCAGGGGAAAATGCTGGAAAAGTCAATGCACCACCTCACTGATTAGTTAAGTGTGACTTCCCACGTGGGCCTCTACAGTCCTGTGCTAATGAGGACTGAGGAAGATTCTAAAACCAGTCTGCTTGCCAGCAAGGCTGGGTGATAAAAGGAAATGTTGGGAAGGATCTGAAATGATCACATTCTGATTTCAATGGAATTTGGACTGTGGAAGGAGGGCAGAAGACATACTGTTTGGCCAGGCATGTGAGTTTAGGAGCATAAATCAAACCTTCTGTGGGGAAGGATGCAGAAATTCCAAGCACAGAAGAAGAGTTTGGGGTGTGCAGTTTCAGGATGATAACTATGCCCTAACCATGCACAATGATAATCCCCATAAGGAGCAAATCAGTACCTTGAACAACCTTTCAAAAAAGGTCTACGTACAGAGGGGTGGCTCCACGTGTACGCATAGCCATCCACGTTTATCACAGGCATGACGTAGAAATCAAAGTGCTCCAGAAGCGTTGTCATGGTCCGATCCCTCTCACGCACATGGATTGCCTATAAAGCACAGGGGAAACATATTAAGAGCATTTATAATTGTTATTTTTCTTACCTTCCTGCAAAGGTACCTGGTGGCATGTGTAAAATAATTGTGCAATTATCAGAGCAGTCTACCTGAGTCTGATGAGGCTCATCACATCATGGAAATGGTTAAATAGCAAAGTAGCTCTCTGCTCAGAAGTGCCACGGAGAAAAATTGATACAGTCAGTCAGAGACACTGGAGTTCTTTAGTGTTAGTGGGTGGTAACGAGACAGAAATGAAGCCTATTAATAGGAAGGTTTGAGCTTTTGCTACCTGTGCATGTAATAGAAACCCTCCCTCCTGCCCAAAATACAGCAAGCTCCAAAATAACAAGTAATACTTCAAATGGCTGCCATACATAACATTATTTATTCTGGTTGCATTGTGAGTTTAATGCAACTATGTGACAAGAGTCAGTATGATGTACATTGCTAATTTTGCCTCACAGCTTATTTTGAAGGCTTTAGTGATGCTGAACCTGGTTGTTGGTCCATGACAAAGAAATAAATTTTAATCTAGATGAGTGGGTTTGTTACTATTAGAATAGACTAAGTCC